TTACATAAGGAAGTGATACGTAATAATCGAGTCATATTTGAATACTATAAACAAGATCCCATAGTTGATTAGATCTAACATTTGTTGTGAGAACTTGATTCATGCGTTCTTCTAGGTGTTCTTTTCGAGATACTGCTTGAGGTTCTTGAGGCCATGCTGAAGATTCTAAACTGAGCCAACTCGGTCCCGACTGCCAGTTTGCATTATCGATAAGTTGAGCTGGTGATAATCCTCGAGTAGCATGATCTGCTGGATTCTCAATACCGGGAGTAAATCTCCAAATTGCTTGAGGTAGAGTTTCGTGGATGTGACAAACTCTATTGTGTATGAATTCCTTCCACCGAGATGGATGACTATTGATCCAGGTATACACAATAGATGAGTCCGTCCAGAGAAAAACTGGAATAAAATTGAGCTTCAAGATTTTTAAAACTCTTGAGGTGAGGTTGCTTAATAGAACAGCTCCGGACAGCTCAAGTCGAGGAATTGTCATTCTCTTCAATGGTGCAACTTTGGTTTTAGAACAGATCAATTGTGTTGAGATATTTCCCTCTTGATCAGATGATCTGATATAGACGGTGGCACACATCGCACGGAGTGAAGCATCGCAAAAACCATGGATTTCAAAAGAATAACCAGCTTTTTGGCCCGTCCATCAAGAGAAGCTCAATTTAGATATTTCATGGAGATGGTTGATGAAGTTAATCCATTTGGTTGAGACAGAAAGAGGTAATAGCTCATCCCATCCAAACTTGAGTGACCAAAGCTCTTGTATGAATATTTTAGCCGTAATTAAGACAGGAGCCAACAGTCCAAGAGGGTCGAACACTTTTGCGATTGTAGATAAAACATTTCGTTTTGTTAGAACAAATGGAGTCGATAAAGTGACAGAGAAGTGGAACGTATCAGATGACGGATTCCAGCATAGTCCAGCATAGTCCATAGTACAGACATGTCCAACGCCTGGGGAGTAACGCTAGGAGCCTTCTCTTTCTCCGACGTCGCGCGAGATATCATATCCCTCTCAGCGCTCCCCACACTAGTCACGACATACGCTCCGACTACCGTGCAAAGAAATAGTTATGTTTATAAACAGATCATCCAGTTTAATACAAAGATCGTAAGAACAGTTTCGGGTTACTCTATACTCCTTCACTGTTCGATCAGGCTTTTCACTTGTTAGTGAGATGTAAGGGAGGAACACGAGACTTCGATAGTAGGGATTGGCGGCTCTTTTCCCCGCACTGCACCTCGCGCTGACAGTCGAGCGGCGAGCATCTGGAGAGGGGGAAATTCTCGCTCTCCACTTTGGCTCTGGAGCCGGCGTTTGGACATGTCTGTCCTAGTACATGGATAATAGCTGATTCGTCAATTCATATTGATGATGAATCAATTCGATTCTCGGAAGAAATGGATTCCAGAATTGCTGAATGATTAGTTGACCATTTTTAAAGGGGAAACCCGCCCGCTTTGCACAATGAGTTTACTTGTCGGACTACTACTTACTATTTCTCGAGCTTGAGTAATTGAATCGGTACCTCCAAATATGTCATCGACATATCTGCCTTGAACTAAGGAAGGAACTGCTAGAGGGAACTTAGAGCCTTCATCTTCTACAAGTTGTTCAAGAGTATGGAGAGCTAAAAAGGGGGGCACAGGCTAACCCATAAGTAACTGTTGTCAGTTCATAAGTGACAATGTCTTTAGCTTTATTCCGCCAAAGAATGCGTTGGAACTTTTGATCTTTTTCATGCACGTTGATTTGTCGATACATCTTTTCGATGTCTGAAGAAAAAACGTATCTAAATTAACGGAACCATATCAGTACATCTAATACATCGATCTGTAATTTCTTGCCAGTGTAAAGAAGATCGTTCAAAGATACTCCCGAGCTGGTGCGACTTGATCTATTAAATACGACTCTTAGTCTCGTAGTCTGACTGGTCTCTCGAATGACTCCATGATGTGGAAGATAGTAGGCTACTTTCGGTTCTGGCTAAGAGTCAGGTATCAATTTTATATGACCTAATTTCTCATATTCCGCTAAGAACTCAGAATATGCATTTTTATAATTAGGATCATTGAGGAATTTTGATGATAAATTCATGATGATTCTTCGTGCTCTTGATTGAGAATCTCCTAACTGAGTTTTAGATTTTTTGAAGGGAAGTCTCACTATGTACCTTCCTTGATCTCGCGAATGAAATTGGTTATAATGTCGCTCACATTCTTGTTCGTTGACGGACATAGATGATGATGTTACAGATGAGACTTCCTCAAGCTTCCAAAAGCGTTGTAGCAAATCTTGCAGTTCTTTGTCAACGGAGACATGATATCCTTGTGAAGATGAGCGTGATGTACTGCTGTTCGCAGGACCTGAAATCACCCAACCAAATGATGTTCGCTGCGCAATAGGTGAGGTAGCTTCTCCTTTTGCAATTCCGTCTTCAATTATCCGGGGATAAACATTTGCTCCTAGAATCATATCAATAGGCCAAGGAGACATGAAATCAGGATCAGCTAGTACGAGATTTTCTAAGTGCGGCCAGACTTGCCTTTGCATATTGCTTGATGGAAGATACGCTGTCAATTTAGGCAGAATATGTGCGGATATTGAAATTCCAGAGTTATGGTCGAAATGAGCTCTTAAAGTTAATTGAGTCAAGCCTCTGGTTTTATTTGCCTTATGACCGCCTATGCCATATAAAGATATAGAGGAATGAACTCTTGGAAGATGTAGTAATTGGACGATTCGCTCTGACACCAGAGAAATTTCAGAGCCTTGATCAAGTAGTGTTCTTATTTTTATTTTTTCTCCACTATTTGAAATTACGAAAATTTGAGCTGTAGCGAATAAAACAATTGAATTCAGTGCTTTTTGTTCAATCAACGAATGGAGCACATTGGTTTCGGTGGACTGTTTTTCTGTGGCGGTTGAGTCTCTTGATGATGAGGTGGCAGAAGTCGATGAGCTATTCTTGTTATTAGTATTCTGATGAATGGTAGTATGATGTTTCCGGCCACATTTCAGGCAGCGCTTCGTAATCCGGCATTCGGATATTCTGTGAGGTCCAAGACAATTTTAACAGAG